GCCATAGTTATTTCACCCCCCCCCCCCCCCAAACTCTTGTCACCCCTACTAATTCCAATTCTTCTTAAAACTCGTTTCTCTGAGGCACAGCAGGGCGAGGCCCGACCGCGCGGGTGAACACGGAGGACGAAACCGGTGCCTCACAGATTCACACAGAAATCCGCACGCAGCAGTCCAAGCAGATTCCAATCTCCCTTCTGGCCTGGACGCCCAGCACAGGGCCCGGCCTCAAAGCCGAGACCTGAATGCTCTCCAAGTCCCTGACCCCGAACTGCAAGAACTGCAGCCACACCATGCAACATCCCTTCTTCTTCCTCTTCTTCCACTCCTTTCTTCACAGTCTTTCTCGCATACGTTATACACTTGTTGGCCAAGATGCCGAGGGCGTGGTTCCGGCCGCGAGCCCCGGCCCCGCGATCCCGGGCTTCCGCACGCTCGTGGCCGGAACCTCCAGCTGCTCCATGTCCGTGAGCACGAGGAAGCCCGTGGCGGTCTCCGCCAGCACCGTGCCAATCTTCCACTGCCCCTGAAAAACCCAGCGAAACATCATGAACCACTTGAAGCAGAGCTGAATCTACAGACATCAAAAAACAACCGTTTCTTTTTGCGCTTTTAATCGCCCCTGCCTGGCTCAGGACTTGGACGTCCGAGCCCACCTCGAAGCTTTGCTTCACCTCCTCCCGACTCGGCCGAGGCCCTACGGAGCCCAAAGGGCCCGTCAGTGCCGTGAGGGGCCTAAGGCCCAATGGCCCAGGCAGGGCAGCACGTGGAGCCTCCTTGGCCATCAGCGCTGCCGCAGCTTTGGCGGCGGCCTCAATGCAGGCACATGCACGACTGCAAAGAAGCCGCTTCCCACTTCACAAATCGCTTTTCCCTTCAGCTCGCCTCGGCCAAGTTCAAGGGTCCCGGCGGAGCCTTTGGCGCTGAGCTGGGAGCAGCGTTGAAAACGCCGAAGCCCGAAGTCGAAGATCCAAAGCTTGAAGAAGCAAGTGTCGGAGGGAGGCTGGGCCGGCCAGGGACGGGGACTGGAGCCGGAGTCGACTTTGGAATGCCTGCGACGGTGCCGCGAAGGTGCTGAGGCCGCAGCGGGAACGGAACGAGTTCAAAAAAGAGCCTGGTTTCAGCCCCGGACCTGGAGTCGATTTCGGGGTAGCAGCTGCCACAGGCACCTGCGGGGCACCTGCAGCCACATCTGCACCCAGAAAATCTGCAATTCCCTGCGACCAAATCACGTGTTTCCAGCCTGCAGCGGGGAGCCTCAGACTGTCAGAGAGGCATCGAAGGGCACCCGCAAAACCGCACCCACCCTCGTTGTCAACTTCCTGAGGCTGTGGCGGCTCGTCTGCCTTCAAGTCCTATGGGGCGACTGAACATCGCTTCGACTGCTGGGCGTGTTGCCGTTGCCCTGCCTTGATCAAGTCTTGTGGCAGCGCTGGTGAGGCGGGCGTGCTGCTGAAATTGGTCTTCACAGGACCTTGGCCAGTGGTGATAAGAACTCTCGGATGAGCACGCCCTCTGAATTCCTGGCGCTTCTCCCGGGCTGGAGACCTGCACAAAGCTGCACAAATTCTGCTCCAACCGGAATTTCTTCAGTCCTGGCCTGCGCGCTGAGCGGGCTGAGCGGGAGCGCCGGGAGCGAGAGCGGCGGGAGCGCGAGCGCGAGGGCCTGCAGCCAGTTCATGTAAATCACATGACTCACAAATTTCACAGAAAGCTTTTCTCCTCTTCTAACACACGCCTCCCTCGCTCGCGGCGGTCTCGGCGGTCCCGGCGATCACGTCGGTCTCGGTCTCCACGACGATCACCACGTCGGTCTCTGGTGCGGTCTTCCCGCTGGCTCCTGCGGGGCGAAAGCTCTTTCATCACGTAGGCCAACTTGTCAAGCTGTCCTTCGCGGACTACCTGAGGTTGACGTGAGCACCGAAACTTTCACAGGAAGCCAGCAAAGGCTGCGGCCACGGCTCCCGCGACTGCTGCGCCGCGAGCCTCAACAGCGCATGTGCGCTGAGGGTTGTGGCATTGTAGGCTTGCATGCATTTAAGAAAGATTGTCCACTTTGCAGATTGCAGAGCCCCTCCTACGAAACCTGCCTGGTCGGCTACGCTTCTCACTGACGGCACGCTCCTTTGACTTCTTTGGCCTCTTCCGTCTCTCCTCCACCGGCGCCTCTTCCTCTGCTTCTGGCAGTGCTGGCGCTTTCTCCGGTGTCCCAGAACCTTCTGGCGCTTCTCCGCTCTTTTGCTTCTGGTAGTGCGGTTGCTCGGGTTGTTCGGGCTGCGGCTGGGATGCTGGCGCTTGGGCCTCTTGCTGCAGCCGTTCCCGTTCCTGCCTCTCTTTCAGTTCTTTCTCCTGTGCTTGCAATACGATTGCAGTGATAGCGATTGCAAACAAACCTTTTCTAGGCAGTCGACCGCTGTCAAGCGAAACATGTTCTGCCGTCCTGCAACGCTAGCGCCTGCACCTGCAAACAGCGCAGCTTGATCGATAGTTCCAAAAAATGTTGCCCAAAGCAGGAGGCCAAGGGGTCATCAGTGTGTTGGGCTACACGTGGCTAAAACATGTCACCGCAGATTCCGCACCTCAAGTACGGTATGATTAGATCTTGAAGGCAACTAGAGAGCAACGCAAACAAACATGAAAATTCTATGTACAGTTGGGACTTGCAACGGCGTCGACCATCTTTTACTTGCTGAGCAACCGTACTTGTTTTTACTCAAATGAAACTAGCCCTAGACATCACACCAGACCCTACCTATCCCTGCATAAGGCATACTTTCACTTCTACTAAAAAAGAACTGAGGGGGGTCCCTGAATAGCATTAGACTTTCTTGGGGTGTGGGTTTTGGCTGACACGACTCCAGCTGGGATCTTTGTGAGGGCTTAATGGATGCAGCGATTCATTTTGCCACATGTGAGCCCAGATTGGTTGGAGCATAATTGGCCTTGCGTTTTTGTGCAGAAGGTGGATGCAAATTTGCCCTGCAACACGTGGGGTGCTCAATGAACATGGATGCTGGATGATGCTGGGCATCTCTCCGGACGTTCAGACTCAGCATTCACAGACGTACAGACGTGATGATCATGGTCACCTGTGCACTTTCAGGATGGGCTTTGAGGGTCACGATGTGTTGCATGAGTGGATTCTAGAAGCGGTTGTGTTGCAAAGTCACTATGCAGAGAGGAGCATGAGGGTTTGGCTCGGTTGGCTCAGGGCGAGGACATTCCTGGACCAAGTCACGGCACTAGATGCTTCTTTCGATGGACAACACCTATGATGGAAGCCTCCATGGATTGGGACCTGGGATGGCATCAAGGACGATGTTCCTTTTGGCATACCTTTGGGCGGACTCGCAACTTTCTAGGCGCGTTTGTCTGCAGTTGCCATGGGAGAGGGGCCCAGGGGCCCAGCCATCCTTGAAAAAGACAATCTGGTTGAGACATGTTGAGACACTGCACGAACTCCTCTGCCAGGCCCTCACACAGGACATGGCTTTTGCAGCCGCGGATGGTTCTGGCAAATTGCGGGTTTGCTGCCTATGGGCTTTTCTTCTCGGCCATGGCCCGATCTAGTCTTTGCCAGATGAGGAACCGAGGTTAGAGCACTGGCGGTGGCTGGCGGTGAAAAGGGCAGACGGCTCAGCCAAAGGCCAGGAAGGTTCGTAACGCGCAGCCGGCTCAGCTCTCAGGCTGAAGCGCGAAGCGGCGCGAAGGCCATCTGCAGAGGTGACGGGCTCTCAGAGAGTCTCTGAGAAGTTAAAGAGTTTTTTAGGAGACGACTGCTACTGCCGTCTTGGCGGACATGGCCACAGACTAATTACCAGATTGACGTGAACGCATGCCATTCTCCACGCGTGTCGACAAGACTTCACACACGTGGCATACTTTCACTTCTACGAAAAAATGAAAGGGTCCCCTAATTACAGTTGGACCTTCTGGTGTATTTGGGGAGTGTGTGCAAACATCGATAACAACGAACAAACAGGACATTCAGGCAATACTGAATTCCAGTTGTTGGACTTCCATTCGACTTTTGTATCTGTTTTCCTGCGCACGAAGCTTTGAAAATCAACCCCAGAGTAAAGCATCCCCGAAATCCTACATCTCATTCACAGTCCTTTAATTCAAATCTACAAAAAGGAAAAACTCATTTGAAGGCACATGCTGAGTGAACATGGTGCGTGATTCATGTGGAAAGGGGGAACTGCATTGAATGGGATGTTGATGGTTGCAAAATCCTCAGGTGCATGGCCAAATGGAGCCACTCCGTGGCAAGCCCACCTGAAAGATAAAAAGCAGATGACAACCCCGCCATCTGCAACCCTCCATGGATCTGTACCGCTGAAGCAAGAAGCACCGTTTCGGGCTGCCAGAAATGCTCCCAGTCCGTCACGTCAAGCACTATAAAGGACAGCATGCTGAAAAGGTGAACTCCCGCTGCCGCTGCAAAGCGGCAGCTCGCCGCAAGAGCCGCAAAAGTGTAGTACGCACGAGGCATCCCAAATCTAACGACTTGGACAAAAAGGATTATGACTTCGCTTTAGCGGGGCGAAGGAGAGTTACTGCAGAAAATGCACCGCAGAGAACGGCAGAGAATGGACCGCAGGCAATTGACCGCAGAAAATGGACCGCAAGAAAATGGACGCAAAAAATGGACCGCACAAAATTGACCGCAGAGAATGGACTGCAGAGAATGGAGCGCTGAGAATGGACTGTAGGAAATGGATTGTTCAAAAGCGGACCGCGGACAGAATGAATGAACAGCAGAACAATGATAGCAAAGAGAACAAGATGAGACCTTGGACAAGCGACACGACTCGAATCGTAGACAGCCACATGAGCAGCAGCATTGTGCAGCAGCATGAGCATGCAACAACATCGTTCCCAAAGGGATCTGACCCAAGGGGACATGTAGCGAAGTATGAGGATACAAAAAAGGAAGGGACACGCAAGACATGTGGGGACATAAGGATGTAAATATGTATATATGCATCGGCTTAGGCTTAGCGTTCAAAGTTTACAGCCTGGAAGGTAGAGCGGGCCTGCAATGCGTGAAGCACTGAATGATTATCAGAAAGACTCGAGGAGCCCTAAACCCCAAGCTCCAAGCAAACCGGACCTCTTTCACACTGTAAAATGGACCAAACATGGACGGCGCCAAGCTGCCCCCCGAAGAATCGGGCCGCAAATGGACCGATGTTGAAACGGGCCTTGCCCAGGCGCCCAAGTTAGTCTCTCGACAGTAACCCCATTCTATGAGCATTACGTATCATAATCAGTATAGTTTCTGCTGCTCTGGCAATTCCGGTGTTCAAGCGCAGGAGGCCGTTCTCCAGCACGGACACCTCGATGTCGATGCAAAAAAAAGACACGACAGCTGCGATTTGTTCTTTCTACAAGCCACCTGGCACATGCAGCTGCCTGGAAAGTACAAGCTCAAACAAAACACTACGTAAGCGAAGCTTGTTTGGTCTGGTCTATAGATCTACTCTTGGTCTACAGGATTGATTCTGAATACTCAACTAAACTCTCCTTTCCATTCTCAACGGTCCATTCTTGAACAATCCATTCTTTCCTCTCCATTCTTTCATGCCTATTTTCGGGGCTGACCAGTCCAACCCCCGAAAACCATCCTTACGCAAACACGGCCAAATTTGAGAATTTTTGCGGATTTCCCCTCCCCCGCACCCCCCCAGTACATATCAGCTCAGCTGGGTTCGAGATGAAAGCTTGGGAAGCTTTCGTAACATGCATACTTGCTTAGCAAGATGACCCAAGGTCCCACTGTGCCCAGAACAATTGAAGGACCTATTTGCTTTGCTGGGCACGAAACCTGGAAAAGCAGAACATCTAGGAAGCTTGCAATTTTCATCTACGTTCCTGTATTGGTGTGCTTTAGTTTCAACTTCCAACAAAAAGACAAACTCAAACAACGCTTTTTGCTGGAAAGCTGGGAACCCTGATCAATCATGATTTTGCATAGTGACCCGTTACTGAACTGAGTTACAACACCCCGCTTCATTCAGTATTCATACCCTCTCAGTTGATTACTTTTGAAACCCAACATGTTCCAGTGACGAACTGAAAGGTCTAAACCCTAATGGCATGACAAGCTTGGCAGCATGTCGCAACAAGTGCCACAAATCCAGGAGGTCACACGTGTTTGGGTTCCTGTGGAAATGGCAAATGCAACTCTTGAACTCAACTCCTAGCACTTGATGTATGAAAGGGACCATATTTAAAGATTTTCTTGGCAGCATGAATTAGGGCCCAAAGACTACTTTCAATTTCAGTGGATTTCGTATGGGGAAAAGGGACCACATTTACAGATGCTGCTGTCTAGTCTTCAGTTTTGTCTGTTAGAGTGGCACCCAATGTCTGACAGTCGCCTCCCGGGCCATCTGCGCCTGCGCCTTCAGCTGTGCCTTCAGCTCTTCCTGAGGAAGTCGGTCTTTTGCAAAGGCTAAAAGAAATGAGCGAAAGCTTCGCCTCCATGGGATCCGGCTCTTCACTGAGCTCAACGGCAAAGCACCTTTCACAACAATTTTTGCGCCCTCTTTCCTCAATGAAAGTTCTAAGCACTCAGAACAGCACATTCGAGATTCCAGAGCATTGGTGGCAGCCTCACGGACAAAACGGCACTGACAACACTCTTTTCACTTCTCCATCCTTTTTTCTTCCACGGCCTTGATTTTGAGCGGCAGCACTACCAGGCTGTTCGCAGGCACCTCCACATCCACGCCGCGCTTCACCCTTGCGATGCCCCCCGCGCCATCCTGGTCAGGCTGCTTCCATGCTTCCATCTTGCTGTGCCTCAGAATCCACGCTTGCGCGCTTGTGTCTGCCTTGAGGCCAGTTCCATTCGAGGACAGGTCCCGAATGCACCTCGAGTGAAGGCGAGAGAAGAGTCAGAAAACCCAAAATCTCGGAATCTCGGGTTAGGGCAAAGTCCCAGAGGGCCCAAGCCGCAGCTCCGCATGGGCCCAGGAGACCCCTGGCCTCCAGAAGCTAATTTTGACGGCTATGCGGCTATGCATTGGCAGCCATTGGCAGCATGCTGCTTAAGGCAAAGCATTTCGGTTTGCCATCGAGAGACAGGTTCACAGGGACCTCACTGGCAGGGTCTCGGCCGACGCGGAGGCAGTCCTGGCGAAGCCCAGCGGCGGGTTCTCGGAGACGCTTGTGGCTCAAAGATGAACAGATGGGCGAGATTGGGCGAGGGGGGCAAGGGCCTCCTGGCGCAGGACGTGGTGCTGTGGATTTCCCCCGTTGCTGCCGAAGCGAAGCGTGATCCGCACACCATGGCTCATGCCGGATTGCAGTCCCTTCAAAGCCTCTCAGAGTCTGTCCTGTTCCACTGCGCTACCAGTACCTCTCTCTCTCTATCTTGCTCTCTCTTGCTTTTTCCTGGTCTGGTTCCCCCGTGTGCCCTACAGTAAGCTTGGCTACGACGCTCGGCTTTGCTTTGGCCCACCTCCTCTGCTTTGAAGTCCAAGGCTGTCCACTGTTCCACTGTTCCACATTGACCACATCGCGCACGGTGACAGCAAAGCTGCGTGAACGCTGCGCTACTTTGGAGTCGGAAATCTTCTTTCCATCGCAGCGGTCAGCTGCTTGCCTTCCGCGGCGACGTTGCCAGGGGCGGCGTCGGAGAAGGCGCACGCCTTCGGATTCGGGCGAAAGGTGAGCCCTTTATAGCCCTCACTCATTTTGTTCACATCTTTTCACCTTTCATTCACACCTTTCATTTACTTTTGCCTCTGTGAAACTTGCAGCAGCGGGAACTGGGCTCGGGGCAGGGACCCTCGCGGCGAGGCATCCTGGAAATGACCCTGGCAGACCCTCGCTACAAACTCTCCTGATTTCACATCCTCGATTTGCCGCAGGTCGCTGGTGAGAATCGGCAGGACCTGCACAGAAACAAGCTGCCTGTTTACCTCAATTCCGTGCTCGCCTTGCCTGGATCAGCTGCTCCACCTCACGCGAAGTGCGACACCGCACATGACAGTTGACTGTCACTCGGTGAGTCGGTTCAAGCGTCTAAAAGCGAACACATTTAAACTGTTTAACATGCTTTTTCTAAAGTGTATCTCATCTTCGCGCTCTTTGTCGGCTCGGCCTGCTCTGTGCGCTCAGCTTCACGAAGCTGCCGTCCGATGGTCTCCTTCCACTCCTCGCAGAGGGTGGCTTTTCCCGAAAAAGGGAGAACATTGTTTTCCAACGCCAAACTCCTTGGAGAGGGGAGCTTGACCTTCTTTGGTCCAATTCTGGACACGGCCCAGCTTCTGGTCAAGGCACTCCAAGGACTGATTCGCGCGCCGCAGCCTCCAAGAAAGCCAGAAGAAAGTTCTCAGTTCTCAGACTTTTTTCCCCTGAAACTTCCAGCGGGTCCCTGGCCATTCCAAACGACGCTCCTTCCAGCAAAGCAGAAGCTTTTTTTTCAACATCTCTCGACAACGCATCACGCTTACTTCTTTCTTCTTCGAGAGACTCCCTGGCCTCGCTGACTTCGGGCTCTTCGCCACGGCGCCGTGCTAGTTCCAGTGCCCTGCCGCTCATGCGCTCATGTCCAACAGGTGCCAGCATGTGGAGTTTCTCTCAAAAACTTCTTTCTGTCGTTGGCCGCCACGGAAACCCCTGCAGCTGCCTCGCATCCTCGCGGTCCTCATGCAAGCCCCTCAACGTCACGCAACTGTCTCCTTCGCCATGCGTTCGTTGGCTTTCACTCCTTGTTATCCAAAGCCCGATGGATTTTGCCTCGGGTAGCGTTGGGTGAAGTAGGCCCACACGTCCTTGGGCTTCAGCCAATGGGGTGAAGGCCACAAATGCTCAGGAAGGGCTGCGTACGGTAGTTCCACCTTATTTGTGCACCGAGTGCACCCTGCATGCCCTGCTGGCTCGGCAAATCGGGCAGTCTGGGGCCCTCACAGATCGTGCAGCTGCTGTACCTGGAGGCTGGCACATCACATGCTGGCACCGGCACTTTTGCATCCAAGCCTTCGTTTTGCTACATGCTCTCGCCTTGGCCCAGTTCTCTTTGGCCTGCCGGTGCTGCTCCTGCACGCGATCGCTCCTCAGACTTCACAGGCGATAAGACCATCGAAGAGCGTGCATTGCTTTGCTTTGAAGTTTGAGAGGGATGTTGCACTGTGCATGCACACATGCAAAAGGTCTGTGTCTTTCGCCTCTCGCGATATCGGCAGATGCGGCGCTGCAGCCTCTGCGACATTCTGCAAGATGCTTAAGCAGCTTGAGCAGTCACGCGCGTGACGCGTGAGTCAACCGCGAAGCAACAAAAAGCTCGAGGTGTGCGCTGCGCGATCTCGTCGATTTGCTCAAAGCAAGCAAGCCTGAAAGACAGGCTGTGAGAAAGAACCATGGCTCTCAGGTGTGAGAAACGAGGCAGCGACGTGCTTAGAACGCAGAACCAGTTGCAGGCAACTAGGGCAATAGTGTAGACCTGTCCGACTGTGCTCTGTATTCCAGCCTCTAGGATGGTCTGCACCAGGATCACATGCTCCTACGGTCCTACAACATCAGCCTGACTGAAATCCAGGATCTCATAGATCACCTCGCAGAGACTCGCAGAGGTGCATCTCAGCCAGCTCAGGAAACACGAGCGGCTGCGGACCAGAACCACGTCCAGCCTCTCGTTTCTGCAGTTGCTTAAGTTATAGGCTGCAGGACCTCTTGCTCAAAACCAAAGGCACTGGCACGAAGTAGAGCAAGTGGTTGAGGTGCCTCCTGGGTGCATGGGCTGTCAAAGCCTTTTGCTTCCGCTTCGCAGCTCTCGCCATAAGACTTATCATTTAAAGGGTGTTTTTTCACAATTGCAAAGCCACAAGGTGCTCTAAAAAAGCAAAAGCAATCTCCGGGCCTGCTGAGGATGGTCAAGGAACCGCAGCAGAAGGCCACGGTCAAGGGCCACTCCCTGACAGGCTCACTGGCGAACAGTTCAAATAACAGCACGGGTATATGTTGCCTTGCAAGTTCAGGAAACATGTTGTTGTCTGGAAGTTTAATTGAGGTTGCTCTCTCGTTCGATCTGTGCTCCTCTATGCGCTGTGCTTCAACTACAAAGCAGCTCTTTCAGTCGTAAGCTGCTCGAGCACAAATAGCACAGAATTGAACAGCCACTCGACTTCTTATCACTGCAGCTGCTAAAGGATTCACCGTGGAGATATTGAACACGCTTGGCGCTACGGGCTAGCTGGAGCTGCGCGAAATCTCCTGGAGGCAAGCGGGTTTGAGTTTCCTCTGTTGTCGAACAGGTGATCACGTCGTGGACATCATCTCTTGGAACGGACGCCTGCTGGTTTAGAAAGGTCTTGCAAAGCTGTCATGTTAGCGGCCGCGTCAGACACGGAGCTTTGACATGGGTCTTTCACATCTGGATTTTAGCTCAATTTGCCCAGCTGTGGACTCCATCGTGGCAAAGCATGGCAAAGCCCACCTGTGTTGTTATGGCACGGGTATGGCAGAGCTCAAGCTTGGCATCTGCTATCGTGCCCCTGTGAGGGATCCGAGAGGTATTCGGCAAGGCCAGGTGTTGACTCACACCTCTCAAGAGAGGACATGCTGAGCACGTTGGTTTTGTATTCGTGTTCACTGTCACTCCTAGTGGACTCCGCGTAAATGTGCTCACCCAACTTGTCACTCATGGTGCGACTCGCCCCCAGACGCGAATGCAGCGCAAGACTGAATAATATGATCGGACAAACAAGGATACCACCCAAGCACCATCAACCGGCCGACCAACAGACCACCTGAAGAAGAAACATTACTGCAGGAAGAATCGCAGCGTTGGTATCCATAGTGATAATAGTTGAAATACGACTGGTACTGTAACTTGCGCCTTCCATGACACTGACAACGAAGATTCAGGGATGAGGTGCTGGCGCCGTGCGAGCTCCGGCTTTGCTCCATGGGTTGAAGGGACATTTTGCACTTGCACTTAACGGCTTTGGAGCCCAGAGCCCCCCAAAGCAAGAGAAGCGCTCTCGACTCAAAAGCCGCCAAAGAGAGAGGAAGACCTCGACCAAGGCCTCGACCGAGGCTTTTGGAGGGGCGGCGTCTTTTCTTCTTTTGGGCCCCGAGATGAGCCCACTTTCCGGCTCGGCCTTTCTGAAGGGCTGTCTTTCTCTTGTCCCTTCCGTTTCGCGTTTTTTTGAATTCAGATCTTTCTACTTTTTCAAGTCTCGAGCAGCAGAGCACTCGAAGAGCACCGGAGCCACTGTTGAGCACATTTAACAGAGTCCATCGTCCGTCGGAGGTGCCCAACACAGGCGAGGAAGGCAAGAGAGGCAAACAGGCGAATATAGCTCTTCCAGTCCAACCAAGACCAGGAGGAAATGGACCGTCCAGAATTTTCTTGCACCAAGCCTTAGTGAAGGAGTTCTAAAATGAGCTTGAGCTTGCTGCGGCAAATGACCAGTTCTTTACCCAAATGCTCACAAGAAATGCAACTCCCTTTCAAAGCGCTACCTCATCATGTTCGTTGATCTTTCATCTGCATCAACAATCATTGACAACCGCCTGATTTTTGACAGGGTATGGCAGGGTCTCGTGAATGGTGGTGTTCAAACAGAACCAGTTCACCATGGGCTCTACAGCCAATTCTGCCGAGCTCTCGGACTTGACTAATTTGCCAGGTCCCTTAGGTTCGAATATATTCGAATTCTTGCTGATTTGGACCTTTCTTCATTTGGTCCTTGCTGTGTGTGCGGTTCGCTTTTCCCATAATCGTAGGACATTTTCAGCCTTCGTTGGTGGTCCCACCTTCAAACGCACCCGAATGCCTTGACAGGTGAAGAAAGCCAGGCCTCTCGAAGTTGCCGTCCCGTGTCCGAGTGACCTGCACAGAGGAGCCAGCTGCAGCTGCAGCAGCTGCAGCAGCTCAAAGGCTCAAAGGCTTCTCAGCGGCGGATGCCTGGCGCCCAAAGCGCCGGCTGCAGTCCAGGCGGAACCAAGACACCCCGCACTTTCCGGTTCCAGCGTGAGCGTCCTTGAGCTTGGCAAAGAGAAAGCCAAAAGCAAAAGGATGGAAGCGGCACGGGAAGCTGACCGGGCGGGTGGCAAAGCTGCTGGCACCCGAGCTAAGGCCATCCTGCACGCAATCAAAAAGCATTAATGCGAGTCTTGCTCAGAGATCGCTCTAAAGCAGGTGCCTCGATGGCCAAAGGCCGCGAGGAGAGCACCTTTTTGGATTCTTCTCTCCTTGCCTCTCTCTGCGCTTCTCCATCTGCCAAGGGGCATAGGACTCAGCAGGGGCCAGGACCAGGCGCGTGGAGACCTGAGATCCGCATCAATGCCAGACTTGTCACCGTAAAAGGCAAATCTCCAACGGCACGCTGTAAAAGTGCGCAGCAGCGCAGCATGTTGCGCACCCTGTGTTCGAGTTTCCCTGCCCCTTCTTGCGATTTCACCCTTCACCTGTAAATACCTCCGGCGCGGCCCTGCGGTTTACCATTCCAACCGTGGCTGTGCATCCCCCGCATTCCTCTAAGAACCTCGGAACCTCCCCCTTGTTGTCTAAGTTCAAAAAAGTGCGAGAGGGAAAACAGAAAAAAAGGCACACCTTCAGCAGAGCTCGTGGCTTTCAGCCGCGAGAGCCGGCCTGTGACCTCACGGGATAAACAGAAGGCTTCTACATGCTCCGCATGCTGCCCCTTGCGAGTCGCCACGTACTCGTCCTGCCTTTTCACAGAGCTCGTCGAGCCTCAGCAGGACCCGTCCAACAAGTCCAATACTCTACTTTTCTTCCCCTCTTAAATTCGGGGATCGGATCTGGGCAACGCGACGTTGCGCAGCGCCCGAACTCCTCCTCGATGCCCTGAGAAAATCAGAGCTGAAGAAGTCTCTGAGACTCACAGGCTTCTGCTTTTCCTGCAGCAAAGGGTTGGTCTCCGCATCGAGAAGACTTTGAGAGAAGACGCCAAGCCACTTCAGCATGAAGCTCCGCAGCTCCTCTGATAGTCTCGACCTACGACTCGTCTACGACCTTCATCCTAGCTCTAAGAGGTCCTCCAGCATGCTCTGGTCCACATAGAGCTCGCTGTAATACAGCTTGAGGTCCTGCAACACAGTAGTTCATGTTTTTTTTCTTGGACCTGTGCCACTTCAGTTGAATTGAAGCTCCAGGATGAATTTCTCGAAGCCCTGACGCGGGGATCCCGACAAGCTGACTTCTGAAAAAGCGGCCGTTCCGCGTGGGCCTCTCGGCTACTATCGAAGGATCGGAAGGCGAAGTCTGTGGCGCTCTCCTGAGAAAGGAAAGCGGAAGAGGTGGAACCGAAACTGGAAGAGCTTCAACACCAGCTCAAGCTTTGTCGGGTGACCGTGAGCTTCGCCGCCACATCCTGCGGACTTGTCTTTCCCCCCATCCCAAGTTCCAAGTTCGGTCGTTCGGAAGGGCATGGCCTGCATCTCTGCGACCTGCTGATGCGTCAGGATGGGTTCTTCTATGCAAAAGCCTGCCTACTTCGTGCCTGCTGGTTGATGGACTCGATGAGGCCATGCACCTCGTCCTCGGCGCGCTGCTTGTGCTCCTCAGGGCGAAACGCTCAGACGAGGCTTCCCATCTCTGAAAAAAACACCTGAAGCGACTCATCGTAGGCCCCAATGAACTTGAAGAAGTCGTAGAGGCTGGGGAGGAGCAGAACTGCAGAAATCAGCCTGACAAACGCAACATCCAACATCATCATCCAACATTCAAATGCCAAGCTGATTGCATCCAGGCTGCTGTCCAATGCAGAAGGGCGTGTGGCAATGCTCCTGCCGCTTCTCTGCGCCGTCCCCCAACTCCCCATCCTCAGCTGCAGCCCCGTCCTGTAAGGCAATCTCCACGATCTGGCATCAGAAATCAGGATATCAAACATTTCTTTTCTGAGCTCTGCCAGAACCTGCAGGACGACAAAGACCAGTGAGGAGACCACACCAACAATCAAGACCAAGTGGAGCCAGTCCTGTTGACAAAACAATCCCAGCCGACATCTCCTTCTATATTCACTTCTTGCTTGTCTAAGTGCTTGGTGAAAGAGAAAAGAATTCGGGTTGCTCGCAGTTTGGTGGAGGCAGCGGAGCCGCTCAATCATTGCCAGGACGCTCTTTTGGTCAACTTTATCGCATGCTACTCATCTAGTGGTGAGTTTGGCTTTTTTGGGCTCTATCTCAACTGTTTACTCGGAGGAACCGTGTACCGCACCACATATGTATGAATACAGCTGAGTGCAGCAAAGCCCTGGGAAGTCCCATTAATCTTTGCTGGCTTCAGGCTGGTAATTACCGTCATCACTGATTAATCGTAAGGTCAGCATTGCACTTCCACCCTCACCTGCGATCAAATCTGATGATGCTGTTGCGCGATGTTGGTCCGGCTGCAGTGCCAAAAAGGCAGAGCATCTGACACCCGTTCCCTCCCTCGCTATCTTGCTTAAGGCCCTCCCTCTCTGAATCTCCATTTCTCTCCTTACCTCCTCTTCTTCTGGTCCTTGGCGCTTCGCCAGCTACTTGGCAGACAAGGGCAGCAAAGCCCGATGCGGCCTTGCAATATCTTGCAGTTTCTCAGTGGCTAGGGCAAGTCTCAATGTTGTGGGCGCGTGGCAGGGGAAGACCCGCGAATGGCACCTCCCAAAAATAAAAAAAATATATATATATCCGTCAGCTGCACAGTTGCTAAAGTTGTACAAAGATTTCGAAGATTTGTATCTCCGCCGTTTTAGCTCCAGGCCTCGCGCAGCTCGCGCAGGCGCCGCAGCGGCATCGCTCAGGCTGTCCTTCACACTCTTCGAAAGCAAAGCACAGTTTACAAAGTTTGCAACCGCATGCCCTTAGCATCTCAACTTGAAGCAGCACGCGGTATTCAGAACAAGCTATGGCAATGGATGAGTTTCATGTCAGCTGTCATGGCTACATCAAATTCAGCAAACATCACCAAGTGTTGGGATCTCGAACGGAGACCTGGTGAATCAAGCATCTTCATTATTCCACAAACAGCGTGCGAAGGCAACGCTCGCCCACAACACAACTCCTATATGTGGAGTCTTGTGGTGGCGGAATGCAGAACCGGTGTCACTTTGAAAGCCCGGTGGTGGTGAAATGTAGAACTGTCTTCACTTTTGGAGCCTCATATTTGCGAAGAGTACATAGAAATGTCTTCACTTGCAGTTGTTGATGAGATTCATGATTGGACATGAGACGGGTTCATACTCCACAAATGCGCGGGTGTTGTCGGTGGGCGCAGCCCACGCCTCATTTGCAAATCACAGATGCATGCAGGAGTTTGTTCTATGAGGTCATTATTAAACATAATGCGGGCTCATGTTTGAAAATGCGGGGAGGTTGGCAGCGGCGCAGCCCCCCAATTCGCAAACCATTGAAAAAAAGACCTTCGTTGACGAGGATTCTTTGCGGCCATGCTTGCTTCCTGCTGCTTTTCTTGCTCCCTGCTTCCTTCCTGTCTTGCGTCCTTGCTTGCTTGCAGCGCGTTGATATTAGAAATACCTGTCCTGAAATTGCGAGTGCTATTATTGAAGCTGCTATCACTACTGCTAGAATTGCCATGAGCAACAAAATCAGTTTTTGACAACGAGTGCGGTGGGGTTCTGTGAAGATTACAAATGACTATGAAAACGCTACATTGCTTGTGTCAGGAAATTCTGGGTTTGGACCAGATCGAGGTTTAAACCGCAAACATTTGTGTTGCGCTGCGTTGAAGGATTCTGCGAGCACTCCAAATTGGCAAAGGCGACGCAAAAGCTCTGACTCTGAAAGGGTGCAGCATACGCTGCAGCTTGCTACTGTCTCTGTGTGTGTCTGCATGGTCCGAAGGAGGAGGTGGACAATGACGTCTGTAGTGCAGCGCGGGAGCTGCCTGTGCATCTCGCACATTTCACTGCTCAGCACTGCTGCAATGGACATGACTCTCCGCCCGTGCCTAGCTCGGCCATCGCGAAGTGTTCTTCGAGCAAAGATTAGACGTGATGCAAGATGATACAACTTGCAAGCACCCTGCTCCAAGAGATCGCTATGTCATGCGCCCATGTGGAGGTGGCAGAGAAGCAAATGATTAATTCTGCCTTTTTTTGTCCGCAGGAAACGTCTGGAAACGTCAGGAACCTTCAGGAACCTTTAAGGAACCGGTGACCGCACTGCAGTCAGTCGTGGCGGAACCAAAGCCTCCCCCGCGCTGCCTTAGGATTTGCAAGGCTCTTTGTTCAGGCTTTTGTTGATGCTGGTGATGCACCTATGATTCTGCTGATTAGAAAGCGTGTGCTTTAACCATGACACGCTGTAGCGCAGGGGCATCTGGGTCATCAGGTCCTGAGCAGAAAGAGGAAATCCTGAGTCCGTGTTCCCTTCCGAGACAACGCGCCTGGCCCAGCAAGGCGACAGGACCATCGAAGTCCCCGATAGTTTCTTGGGGCTGCGACAGCAGCTCCTACGCACTTGACCCGTTTTCTCAGCCGTTTTCTCAGCTAGAGTCTGCTAGAAGCAGGGAGTCCTGGAACAAGCCGATATCTCCAATTCCAACATCCACAGCCTCTGGGAACGTGGCGATGGGCCCCTTGATCCGAGCACCTGCCATTTTGGCTCTGGAAAGAGTTGGCGGCTTTTTGCCTGAGGCCAAGCCTCACTTTAAGCGCGCCTGTGTTGCAAAAACGCCAGGAGCGGCGCCCATCCACCGGATTGGCGCTGGCACTGGCATCGCTGGCGCCTCTGAACCCAAGTCTTTGAGCAACCTGGTAATTGGCAAATTGCCGCCTGATTTGCGTGGAGTGATGGTCACGTGCCGTGCGCTGGATAGGGTAATGTTCATCAAGCTGAGCAAAGGCATCTCTAGCCTCAGAAAAAAAGCCACTCACATGCCACTCACTGCTAGTCTAAGCCTTGCCAAGCCTAAGCCGTGGACACCGAATTATCCAAGCCAATTCCCCGCACCTTCCTGTCATGGCAACTTATGGAAACAAGGCAGCATGAAGGCTTAAGGCCGGCATAGCCTCTCAGCGCCCATGTCGACCTGAACTTTCTGGGTGGGTCTTCCGTCTTGTGCGACTGCAATCTTTCCATCTCTCTTTTTTTCTTTTTCTGCTCTCATTGTGTCGGCTCGTTGCACTGCCACAGCAGCTTCAAGCACTGCAGGCGACTCTCTGAGCGCGGATGGTATTGAGCCGACGCCAAGCGGAAGGGCAGGCGCCTAGAGAAAGCAGAGACTTGAAGAGTTGGAAGAGTGCATGCCCGCAATATGAATGCCTCGCCTGCCCAGCGGTTTATTGCACCTGGAAACACAAGAAACATGATATTTCAAGCTCAGGTGGAAACGATGCCACGCCGCCCCTTTCTTCAGTAATTCAGGCTCCCACGGCTCCCGCGGCTCAATGGGTGCAGTGTGTAAGGCGGGCTCCAGAGGCTCCAAGGGGCAGCGCTGGTCGAAGCTGATGCACCTCTAAGCTTCCCTGAACTTCTCAGCAAAACTTCTTCAGCAAAGACGCTTTTGTCCTTGGCCCTTGGGTCGCGTCTCCTTGAGCCCACCGCCGGTGTGGACATCGCCTTGCTGGGCCGTCCCAAAACCTCGGAAACAAGACCAGTAATGGTTGCAAGATGCATCATGCCTTCGTGGAGCCCATTTTGCGTGCCCCCTTTTTGCCTTAGGCAAAATGCCCCAAATCCTCGACTTTCCTCCACATTGTCCTCTTTGCTTCTTTCTCTGCAGATCCGGGCAGCTCCAAGACCAGGGCGCGGCGGCAGCCGCGCGTCACGGGCGCCACGCAGTGGTATTTGTGCGCCTGAGTGCGCGTGCTCTCGAATCTCAACAGCAACCTCCTCCCCCCACCTGCCCCACCTGAAAGACGAGAATGTCGAGCAACTTGAAGGCTTGATCCTGAAGACCGCAAGGGCCGCAAGGGTGTAGAACGAATGCCGGTGCTTTTCTCTGACGTGAATCAAACGCTGCGCAGTGCCTGCAACGATCCATCTGCTTCTAAGGTCCGCAGCTGGCCGCCCTCAAAATCCTTCCCAGGCTCCTCATGCTGTGTCGCTAGGTCGGAATATTTTTGGGTGGTCCTTTTTGCATCCGGGGCTCAGCGCACAGGACATCCACGGTGACCAAGCTGTCCATGTCATAGTGCCGTGGGTCCGGGATCCCAGGCCCTGGCGCTGCCTGAAGCCAGCGGCACTTTAGCAGCGGCTCGGCTTCAGCCCCCCCCCCCCCCCCCCCCNNTCAGCCCCCCCCCCCCCGGCCTGCTCGTGCCACTCCACCACCCGTGCCTTCAAGAGCAGGCGAGTGAAGAACCGCGGCTCTGAATGGCTCTGCTGAAAGAGGTTTTGCCTGCAAGTTGGCCGCTTGGTCTGCTCGGAGCCAGCCCTCCTGGAGGCCCACAGACCTCCAGCAGCAGGGAAGCAAAGAACGGGAGAGCTCTTCCTTTTGCTTTTCCAAGCCTTGCAATCTCTGTGAGCTTGGCCAAGAGGCTTGGAGCTCGCTGCGCGAAGAAGCCACCAGTCTGAAGGAAGGTCACCTGCGCAACATCTCCAGATCGATGCTCTCATTAGATATGGCAACGACCACTAGCTGGCTTTGCGCGTCTCTCGCCTGCCAGGCTGTGGACTGCGGTGACCGCACTGCTCGACCGCAGAGGGGATGAGCGTCCAAGCTAAGCTTCTCCAAATCCCGGAGCTCACCACAGCTCAAGGAGCCTGCATGTCGCACCTTGGAAACACATCCCATCAGCTGGCGGCCAGGCTGCCCAGCATTGCATCAGGCCTTTGTCTGCTGGGCTTCGAGGACGTCCATAATCCCGCCGCGAACTCCTTCGAAGAATTTCGAAAATCTTCGAAGCACACAGATCCCACCCGTCTTCGTCCTCCCCTTGCCAGCAGCAGCTGGAACCAACTTTGCGGCGAGACAAAGTTTAATTCCTTTGGCCTTCCGTCATCCACTTCGCGGCGACGCCTCTTCGCCTCAACTTCCTCACTGACTCCCTTCGCGCCCTTCGCTTCTGTTTTGGCATCTTTCACCAAGAGAAACAGCGACGTATTTGCCAAGTCATCGCCGAGATCCTCACACAAAAGTCGCGAAGGCCATGAATTCAGCCGGTACATGCTTCAAGTGCGCCTCCAGCTCCACTGCCGTGAAGCCTATGAAGAACTTGTTTAAGGCGGGGCCCGCATTGGATTTTGCCTTTTGAGCAACAGGCCCTTATGCTGATGTTCAAGGAAGTGAATAATCAGCCGGGCCCCCGCCTCCAGCAAAAGGAAGACTTCTGTGAGTTGGTTGCAGAGATCCCGCAGTGGTTCCCAAGCCGCTTCTGCTGCTCGCAGCGCCACGACGACCGCATAGGAACCGTTTCCGCCGTTTCCGTTCCTTTTCCAACAGGCAGTGCTTGCAGTGCTTGGTCTGCCTGGTCTTGGGCTCAGGTTCTCTTCAGGGAGAACGCGTCGGGCTTTCGGGTGGAGTCCACTGCCTTCACCAGCCACCTGCAGGCCAAAGTGGCACGTTGCCAGCTCCAAGGCGTTTCCAGAAGTCTCCAGAAGGTCCACCCACACCTCGGGAGCTTGCCGGGCAAGGAAGGTCGCCAATAACCCATCGTTGATGCCAAAAACCAGCACAGGGCCACAAGTCTTGGCAGCAACCAAGAGTGCCAGACCCGCGGCCGTAACCTCCTCCCAGCGATGCAGCGCCTGGCCTCCACAAAGCCATCTCAGAATATCTTATACAGTCACTCAGTCACTTGCTTTAAAGAACCTCCCTTGAAGGACCTCTTCTTTTAGCGCCCTTCACCCCCCCCCCCCTTTCATTCGTGCCCGGAGGTCCAAAGGCTGCATGGTAACCGCCCTCCGTAGGCTCAAAGCCATGCCAGGGCCCCAAATGTAGAATTCGCTGCCGGCCGAGCTCCTCCTTTCCCTCCATCTCACCCGACCTGAAGCGGTGAACGCAGGAAAGAAGCTTGTCTGAGTTTCAGGCCTTCCGGGCCCCCCGACGGAGGGTCGACGACGACGTCCAGCACAGCTCGGAGCTCTGAGTGGTCGCAGTTCGGCGAAAGCAGAAGGCCAGTCCCTTCCGTCTCCGTGCCACAGCAAGGTCGATAGTCCACCACCTCGACCCGAGGAAAGCACCAGGCGTGCGACAGCCAGGGGCTCAGCGTCGCCGCTGCCAACAAGCGCCAGTCACAGTCTTCATCACGTCCCAGTCCCTCCCCCTCAGTTTGCAAGGCTGCACGCGCATGCTTCTGCAGCTGTTCTGCCAGCAGTCGCATGGATTCAAGCAGCTCGTCTCCTTCCCGCGACCTGGCTCTAGTGGCAGCATGCGCAGCATGCAGCAGGCCAAGATTGCCCCGCTCCATCAGCTCTCTCGTGGCCCTCAAACTCTCATTCTCTGATGGCTCAACAGCGGAAAGCCGCTGCTGCCAAGTCCTCACTTCTGCTTTCCACGCTAACAAGCGGCTTTCCCTGGCCATGGCCATATGGCCATATGGCCATGCAAAACCACTCCTAGCACAGTGGGGACTGTTGCATCAGATGCTTGCAGCTGCGTCAATTTGTAGCATGTTCTCGGAGTTTAACAAACTGGCTTGGAAGTTCGACGCGTAAGTGAGGCTAAAGGGTTCAAGACCCGGGCGCGGAGGCCCAAGACGTATGCCGCTTGCCGGTTCAGGACCTCTTTCTTTCTTCCACTGACGAGTAGTGAGTAGAGCTTAGCAGAGAAACTCGGTGCAAAGGGGGCGAGCCGTGTGCGAGGCGCCGGTGTCCACGAGGCCCACCACCGGCTCCAGGCATCCAGGCACCGTGAGCAGCAGGCCCTGAAAGAGAGATCTCATCTTCAAAACTTTTGCACATCTGCTTTCCCTTTCCTGAAGGCGCCCTGGCATGCCCAAAGCCTCCAGGGCCCTGCACAGAAACTTTGCGTTTTTTAAGCGGTCTCCAAAAGAACTTCAAACTTCGAGCTTGTTGGAAATCATCTTCGGGGCCCAGCGGCCCAGCCTCCAGTCCCCGTCCGAGCCGTCCGAGCCGGAGTCCGGCAGCGAGGCCCTCGGCCAGGCCCGGAGCCGCTGCTTCGGGGCGTCCTCAAACAAAAGCAAAAGAAGATCACAGGACCTTCACATTCTCTTAAACTCGAGATTCGAGTCCAGCTCCAGGTCGTACTGGTCCATGAAGCCTCTATCCCCACTCACACACACATCACACACACATCACACACGACATGACATCACACGCCACTCGTGCCTTGTCCCAGCATTCCCTGCAATGCAATGCCCACTTCACCTGCAATGCTCCTCAGTTCCAGTCAGATGCAACAACTCCTGATGAACAGGCTTCATTGTTGCAGCCGCAGGGCAGCTGGGGAAAGTTGTCGACCACGACTCCTCAGAAAAGCAGAAGCAGACGGTGCTTCGAAATGACGGCACTGAGTGTGGCACCTGCCATGGGGTGCAAGGGGCAGCTCTCCTCCTGAACGATGATTGCGTAAGGTTTCAGCTGCTTCGAGCTCAGAAGTGGCCGCTAGTCGCCCTCTCCTCGTCCACCAGAGCAGCACCTTCCACCCGGACCTGGCCCCCAACACAGTAACTCGAGGCATTCTTCGGAAGGCATTCTCAAGCATTCTGCCTGTTGCATGTCGAGATTCCCTGTGGCGCCGACACCAGAGGAAGATCCCAGACCTCGCCCCCTCCCCCCCCCCCAATTACGGATGACGGCTAATGTCTGCAGTGCAGTCTTGAACAAACTCTGGGTTGGACCTGCAAAGCTTCAGCCCCCATGCTTGAGATGCTTCTCGCCCTCAAGATAATTGAGCTCTTGTGGAAGGGTTGGTGACCTGCAAAGATCCGATCCCTGCCAGCGCCGTCCAGTCTGCATATACAGCTCGCTACAGCTATGCTATTGGGCTTGCTGAGGCTCGCTGGATGCTCATAGCAGAGCGAACAAGTAATGTTCAGGTAGCATTAATCAATGGGGTGACAATAGCATCTTGTTGACGGCCCGGAAAAATCCCGGACAATCAAATTTGCTTTCTAACAAGTTCGGAACCCGAAAATATATCAACAAGTCCAAATCGCAATAATACAGGGGTGGCAATAACATACTTGTCCGGCCGGAAATGTCCCGATCTTAAAAGAATCCCCTCTACTCGTCCTACGAGTATTACGAGCTGCACTACCTGTTCCTACCCATGTCCCTGTCATGTATTATTAGTTAGCAGAACCCTTGCCCAT